AAAACCCCTCCATGGATCCCCCAAAACCCCCAAATCCCCTCAAGGGACCCCCAAATCCCCCAACCCCCAAACCCCCAAAGTCCCCAAGAATCCCTCCCCGAGCCCCCAAACCCCCCAAAACCCCTCAAAATCCTCCCACGGACCCCAAAGCCCCCAAAACCCCCTCAAAATCCCCTCAAAACCCAAAGCCCCCCAAAAATCCCCCCCCCCTGAGCCCCCAAAACCCCCTCAAAACCCCCCAAACCCCCAAAGACCCCCAAGACTCCCTAAAATCCCCTCAAAAGCCCCCAAGACCCCCAAAACCCCCTCAAACCCCCAAAGACCCCTCAAGACCCCTAAAATCCCCTCAAAAGCCCCCAAACCCCCCAAAATCCCCAAAACCCCCTCAAAACCCCCAAAGACCCCCCAAACCCCCTCAAACCCCCCAAAGTTCCCCAAAAGCCCCCAAAACCCCCAAAATCCCCTCAAAACCCCCCAAACCCCAAAGCCCCCAAAATCCCCTCCCGAGCCCCCAAACCCCCCAAAGTCCCCAACTCAAAACCCCCCAAAACCCCCACAAAACCCCCCAAAGACTCCCCAAAATCCCCTCAAACCCCCCAAAGTCCCCCAAAACCCCCCAAGACCCCCAAAACCCCTCAAAACCCCCCACAGACCCCAATGCCCCCAAAATCCCCTCAACCCCCTCAAAACCCCCAAACCCCAAAGCCCCCAAAATCCCCCCTGAGCCCCCAACCCCCAAAACCCCTCAAAACCCCCAAGACCCCTCAAAACCCCCTCAAAACCCCCAAGACCCCGAAAGTCCCCCAAAATACCCTCAAAATCCTCCCACAGATCCCAAAACCCCCCAAAGACCCCCCTAAGACCCCCCAAAATCCCCTCAACGCCCCCAAACCCCAACCCCCCAAAAATCCCCCCGGAGCCCCCTCACCCAGCTCCCAGGCAGGAGACCCTCAGCCCTGAACGCCCGAGGGTCCTGGGGGCACAGAGGGGCTGGGGGTCAAGGTCACCCAAAAGGACCCCCGGAAGGGACCCCACCCTAAAAAGGGACCTAAAAACTCGGGACCCCCCCCCAAGGGGGTGGGACCCCCCAGAAGGGGCTCAGGGAGGTCCTAAAAGGGACCAAAACCCCCCCAAAAGGGACTCGGGGACCCCCAAAAGGGACTGGGGGACCCCCCAAATGACCCAATTTACACCCCAAGGGGAATCAGGGACCCCAAAAGGGACCAAACACCCCCAGAAGGGACCAAAACCCCCAAAAGGGACCAAAACCCCCAAATGACCCAATTTACACCCCAAAGGGAATCAGGGACCCCCAAAGGGACCAAACCCCCAAAAGGGTTCAGGACTCTCAAATTAACTAATTTACCCCCCAGGGGAATCGAGGACCCCCAAAAGGGACCAAAACACCCCCAGAAGGGACCAAAACCCCCCCAAAAAGGGACCAAACCCCCCCCAAATGATCCAATTTACCCCCCAAGGGGAATCAGGGACCCCCAAAAGGGACCAAACCCCCCCCAAAAGGGACTCGGGGACCCCCAAAAGGGACTAAAAACCCCCCAAAAGGGACCAACCCTCCCCAAAAAGGGCTCGGGGACCCCCAAAAGGGACCAAACCCCCCCCAAAAGGGACCAAAACCCCCCAAAAGGAACCAACCCCCCCCAAAAAGGGCTCGGGGACCCCCCCAAGTGACCCAATTTACACCCCCAGGGGAATCAGGGACCCCCAAAAGGGACCAAACCCCCCAAAAGGGACCAAATCCCCCCCAAAAAGGGACTAAAACCCCCCAATTGAACCAATTTACCCCCAAGGGGAATCAGGGACCCCAAAGGGACCAAAACCCCCAAAGGGACCAAATCCCCCAAAGGGACCAAATCCCCCCCAAAAAGGGACTCGGGGACCCCCCCAAATGACCCAATTTACCCCCCAGGGGAATCAGGGACCCCCCAAAGGGACCAAATCCCCCCCCAAAGGGACCAAAACCCCCCAAAAAGGGACCAAAACCCCCCCAAATAACCCAATTTACCCCCCAAGGGGAATCAGGGACCCCCCAAAGGGACCAAAACCCCCCCAAAAGGGACTCGGGGACCCCCAAAAAGGGACCAAATCCCCCCCAAAAAGGGACCAAAACCCCCAAAAGGGACCAAAACCCCCAAAAGGGACCAAAACCCCCAAATGACCCAATTTACCCCCCAAGGGGAATCAGGGACCCCAAAAGGGACCAAAACCCCCAAATGGGACCAAACCCCCAAAGGGACTCAAGGACCCTCAAAAGGGACTGGGACCCCAAATAACCCAATTTACCCCCCAAGGGGAATCAGGGACCCCCCAAAAAGGGACCAAACCCCCCCAAAAGGGTTCAGGGACTCCCAAATTAACCCAATTTACCCCCCAGGGGAATCGAGGACCCCCAAAAGGGACCAAAACCCCCCCAAAAGGGACCAAACCCCCAAAGGGACCAAAACCCCCAAAGGGCTCAAGGACCCCCAAAAGGGCTCAGGGACCCCCAAAAGGGCTCAGGGACCCCCCAAGGGACCCAATTTACACCCCAGGGGAATCAGGGACCCCCAAAAGGGACCAAACCCCCCCAAAAGGGACCAAAACCCCCCCAAAAGGGTTCAGGGACTCTCAAATTAACCAAATTTACCCCCCAGGGGAATCGAGGACCCCCAAAAGGGACCAAAACCCCCCAAAAGGGACCAAATCCCCCCCCAAAGGGACCAAATCCCCCCCAAAAAGGGACTCGGGGACCCCCCCAAATGACCCAATTTACCCCCCAAGGGGAATCAGGGACCCCCAAAAGGGACCAAAACCCCCCCAAAAGGGACCAAAACCCCCCCAAAAGGGACCAACCCCCCCCAAAAAGGGCTCGGGGACCCCCCCAAATGACCCAATTTACACCCCCAGGGAATCAGGGACCCCCAAAAAGGACCAAAACCCCCCCAAATGGGACCAAACCCCCCAAAGGGACCAAAACTCCCTAAAAGGGACCAAAAACCCCCCAAAAGGGACCAAACCCCCCAAATGACCCAATTTACCCTCCAGGGGAATCAGGGACCCCCAAAAGGGACCAAACCCCCCCAAAAGGGACCAAACCCCCCCAAAAGGGCTCGGGGACCCCCCAAGTGACCCAATTTACACCCCCAGGGACTCAGGGACCCCAAAGGGACCAAAACCCCCAAATAACCCAATTTACCCCCCAGGGGAATCAGGGACCCCCAAAGGGACCAAAACCCCCAAAGGGCTCAGGGACCCCCAAGTGACCCAATTTACACCCCGGGGACTCAGGGACCCCCAAAGGGACCAAAACCCCCAAAGGGACCAAATCCCCCAAAAGGGACTAAACCCCCCAATTGAACCAATTTACCTCCAGGGGAATCAGGGACCCCAAAAGGAACCAAAATCCCTCAAAAGGGACCAAAACCCCCAAAGGGACCAAACCCCCAAAGGACTCAGGGACCCCAAAGGGACTGAGGGACCCCCAAGTGACCCAATTTACACCCCAGGGGAATCAGGGACCCCCAAAAGGGACTAAAAACTCCCCAAAAGGGACCAAACCCCCCCCAAAAGGGCTCAGGGACCCCCAAAAGGGACCAAAAACCCCCCCAAAAGGAACCAACCCCCAAAGGGACTAAAACCCCCCCAAATGACCCAATTTACCCCCCAGAGGAATCAGGGACCCCCAAAAGGGACCAAACCCCCAAAAGGGACTCGGGGACCCCAAAAGGCCCCAATTTCCCCCCTCCCCTCCTCCCTCCTCCCCCCATACCGATACTTCATGCCAGGGGTCGCTCCCGGGGATGGGTGGGGAAGGGGCGGGAGGAGGATCGCCCTTCTCGGTGGTGGAGCCGCCGCCGCCCCTCCCCACCCCCTCCTGCCCCTCCCCCACCTCCTCCTCCTTTCCCTGGAGTGTTTTGGGAGCCCCCTTTGCCTCCCCCTCCCCCACCCGTCCCCCTCCCCCACCCCTGCCGCCCCTCCCCCTCCTGCCGCCCCTCCCCCCGCCGCCGCCCTCCCCCCGTCGCTGCGGCCCCGCAGGCTTCTGCTCGGTGCAGGCGATCGACACCTGCATTTGGGGGTCTGGGAGGTTTGGGGGTCTGAGGGGTCTAGGGGGCTTGAGGAAGGTGGTCGGGATGAGGGAGGGGAGGGGTGGCGGAAAAAGCGGGGGGGGAGGGGCTTAAAGGCAAAAAAAAAGGGGGGGGTCGTGGAGGAAAAGGAGAGAACCAGGAGAGAGGAGGGGGAGGGGAGGCCACGCCCACCAAAATAAAGCCACGCCCACCGAGGTAAAGCCACGCCCACTCAGCAAAAAGCCACGCCCACTCGGATAAAGGCGTAGGGAAAGCCACGCCCACCGGAAAAGGCGCGCTTGGATAAGCCACGCCCACCAAGCAAAGGTCACGCCCACCCAGTAAAGGCCACGCCCACCCAACAAAGACCACGCCCACCCAGCAAAAAGCCACGCCCACCCAGCAAAGAAACCCACAAAAAAAACCCCAAAAAAATAAAAAAAATAAAAAACGGGAAAAGGGGAATTTTTTGGGGGAAAAAAAATGAGGGAATTTGGGGTGAAGAAAGGGAGGATTTGGGGAAAAAGAAAAAAGTAGGAAGTTTGGGGGGAAAAGGAAGGGATTTGGGGAGGGGAATGGGAGGAAATTTGGGGGGGAAAGAGGAAATTGAGGAAAAATGAGGAAATTCGGGATGAAAAGTGGAAATTTTGGGGGGAAAAGAGGAATTTTGGGGGCAAAAAGGGAAATTTGGAGGAAAAAATGAGGAAATTTGGGGCAAAAAGGGGAAATTTGGGGGGAGGGGAAGGCGGGATCCCCTCCCCCACCCATCAGCGAGGAGGGGGCGGGGCGTGACGTCACACCGAATGACGTCATCGACAAAAGGACACGAATTAATGACGTCACCACCTTCGGGGGGAGGGAGCTCCCAAAATTTATTGCTTGTGAATCCCGAGGGGGAGGAAAGGAGGTCCCCCACCCCTCCCCCGGGGATCCCCCGTGACGTCATCGGGGTCCTCAAAGACCCCTCAGTTTTGGTTCTGCCCCTCCCCCCCCCTCATTTTGGGGTCCCCCCTCCCCCCACTAAAGAGGGGGGGTCCCCAAAATCGTTGGGGGGGGTCCCCAAAATCCTGGAGGGATCCTTGAAGTCCTGGGGGGTCCCCAAAGTCTTGGGGGTCCCCAAAATCCTTGGGGGGGTCCTTGAAGTCCTGGGGGGTCTCCAAGTCCTGGGGGGTCCCCAAAATCCTGGGGGGGTCTCCAAAGTCCTGGAGGGGTCTTTGAAGTCCTGGGGGGGTCCCCAAAATCCGGGGGGGGTACTTGAAGTCCTGGGGGGTCTCCAAACTCCCAGGGGAGGTCCCCAAAATCCTTGGGGGGGTCCCCAAAATGCAGGGGTATCCCCAAAATCCTGGAGAGGTCCTTGAAGTTCGGGGGGGGGGGTCCCCAAAATCCTTGGGGGGGTCCCCAAAATCCTGGGGGGGTCCCCAAAATCCTGGAGGGGTCCCCAAAATCCAGGGGGGGTCCCCAAAATCCTGGAGCATCCTTGAAGTCCTGGGGGGTCCCCAAAATCCTTGGGGGGGGGTCCCCAAAATCCTGGAGGGGTCCTTGAAGTCCTGGGGGGTCCCCGAAGTCTTGGGGGGGTCCCCAAAATCCTTGGGGGGGGGTCCCCAATGATGTCCTGGGGGGTCCCAGATTTTGGGGTCCCCCCCATTTTTTTTGGGGGGGTCTCTCCCATTTTAGGGGTCCAGCAGCACCTCGAGTCCATTGGGGGGGGTCTCTGATACCCCAAATTTGGGGGGGTCTCCGATGTCCATGGGGGTCCCCCTCTCCATTTTTGGGGTCCCCCTCTCCATTTTTAGGGTCCCCCTCCCCATTTTCGGGGTCCCCCTCCCCAATTTGGGGTCCCCTCAGGGGTCCAGCAGCACCTCGAGTCCATTGGGGGGGGGGTCTCTGATACCCCAAATTTGGGGGTCCTTGAAGTCTTGAGGGGTCTTCAGTGACGTCCTGGGGGTCCCCCCCCCATTTTTGGGGTCCCCCCCCATTTTGGGGGTCCCCATCTCCATTTCGGGGTCCCCCTCCCCGATTTGGGGTCCCCTCAGGGGTCCAGCAGCACTTGGAGTCCATTGGGGGGGGGTCTCTGATACCCCAAATTTGGGGGTCCTTGAAGTCTTGGGGGTCTCTCAGTTTGGGGTCCTCCATTTTGGGGTCCCCTCTCCATTTTGGGGTCCCCCTCCCCAATTTGGGGGTCCCCTCAGGGGTCCATGAGCACCTCGAGTCCATTGGGGGGGGTCTCTGATACCCCAAATTTGGGGGGGTCTCTGATGCTCCGATGTCCTGGGGGTCCCAGATTTGGGGTCCCTCCCCATTTTCGGGGTCCCCCTCCCCGATTTGGGGTCCCCTCAGGGGTCCAGCAGCACCTCGAGTCCATTGGGGGGGGGTCTCTGATACCCCAAATCTGGGGGGGTCTCTGATGTCCATGGGGTCCCAGATTTGGGGGTCCCCCCCATTTTTGGGGTCCCCCTCTCCATTTTTGGGGTCCCCCTCCCCGGTCTGGGGTCCCCTCAGGGGTCCAGCAGCACCTCGAGTCCATTGGGGGGGGGTCTCTGATACCCCAAATTTGGGTGGGTCTCTGATGTCCATGGGGGTCCCCCCCATTTTTGGGTCCCCCTCTCCATTTTCGGGGTCCCCCTCCCCATTTGGGGTCCCCTCAGGGGTCCAGGAGCACCTCGAGTCCATTGGGGGGGTCTCTGATGCCCCAAACTTGAGGGGGTCTCCAATGTCCTGGTGGTCCCCCCCAGATTTGGGGTCCCTCTCCCCATTTTCGGGGTCCCCCTCCCCATTTTTGGGGTCCCCCTCTCCATTTTTGGGGTCCCCCTCCCCGATTTTCGGGGTCCCCCTCCCCGATTTGGGGTCCCCTCAGGGGTCCAGCAGCACCTCGAGGCCGTGGCGGGGGGCGCGGGCGGGGGGCACCCCCCGGGCCAGGTGGGTGAGGCGCCCGGGGTGCAGCAGAGCCCACCCCGGGGGGGGCGCGGGGACCCCGCACTGGTAACGGGGGAAGTGCCACCCCCCGCCCTGGGGGGACAGGAACCAGTTAGAACCAGTACAAACCAGTATAAACCGCTATAAACCAGTAGAGAGCAGTTAGAACCACTATAAACCAGTATAGGCCAGTCTGAACCAGTATGGACCACTAACACACCCCCAGTGCCACCCCCCGCCCTGGGGGGACACACACACCAGTTAGAACCAGTATAAACCAGTTAGAACCAGTTAGAACCACTATAAACCAGTTAGAACCCGTATAAACCATTATGAACCAGTATGGACCACTAACACACCCCCAGTGCCACCCCCCGCCCTGGGGGACACACCAGTTAGAACCAGTTAGAACCAGTTAGAACCAGTTAGAACCAGTATGAACCAGTATAGACCAGTTAGAACCACTATAAACAAGTATAGACCAGTATGAACCACTATAGGCCAGTTAGAACCAGGATGGATCAGTATGGGCCAGTTAGAACCAGTAACACACCCCCAGTGCCACCCCCCGCCCTGGGGGGGGACAGGAACCAGTTAGAACCAGTATGGACCAGTATAAACCAGTATAAACCAGTATAAACCAATACAGAGCAATCAGAACCAACATAAACCAGTATGAACCAGTATGGATTAGTAACAGCCCCCCCAGTGCCACCCCCCGCCCTGGGGGAACACACACCAGTTAGAACCACTATAAACCACTATAGTCCGGTATGAACCAGTATAGACTAGCACAGACCAGTATAAACCAGTATAGACCAGTATGGACCACTAACACCCCCCCAGTGCCACCCCCTACCCTGGGGACACACACACCCCAGTTAGAACCAGTATAAACCAGCACAGACCAGTATAAACCAGTATAGAGCAGTTAGAACCACTATAAACCAGTTAGAACCAGTATAAACCAGTTAGAACCACTATAAACCCCTATAGGCCAGTATGAACCAGTATGGACCAGTAACACACCCCCAGTGCCACCCCCCGCCCTGGGGGGGACACACACCAGTTAGAACCAGTTAGAACCAGTATAGACCAGTATAGACCAGTTAGAACAGCTATAAACCAGTTAGAACCAGTTAGAGCCAGTATAGACCAATATAAACCACTATAAACCAGTATAGGCCAGTTAGAACCAATATGGATCAGTATGGGCCAGTTAAAACCAGTATGAACCAGTAACACACCCCCAGTGCCACCACCCAGGCCCTGGGGGGGGACAGGGACAAGTTAGAACCAATATAGACCAGTTAGAACCAGTTAGAACCAGTACAGACCAGTTAGAACCAGTATGGACCAGTAACACACCCCCAGTGCCACCCCCGCCCTGCAGTGTACAGGGACCAGTTAGAACCAGTAGGGACCAGTCAGAACCAGTATAAACCGCTATAAACCACTTAGAACCAGTATAGACCAGTTAGAACCAGTATGGACCAGTAACACACCCCCAGTACCACCCCCGCCCTGCAGTGTACAGGGACCAGTTAGAACCAGTAGGGACCAGTCAGGACCAGTTAGAAGCACTCTAAACCACTCTAGACCAGTTAGAACCAGTATAGACCAGTTAAAGACAGTTAGAACCGCTATAGACCAGTTAGAGCCAGTATAGACCAGTTAGAACCAGTATGGATCAGAAACACACCTCCAGTACCATCCACCGCCCTGGGGGTGACAGGGACCAGTTAGAACCAGTAGGAACCAGTCAGAAGCACTCTAAACCGCTCTAGACCAGTTAGAACCAGTATAGACCAGTACAGACCAGTAGAGACCCGCGGCCCTCCCAGTGCCCTCCCAGTCCCTCCCAGTGCTCCCAGTGGGTACCTGGGCGTGGCTGAGGCTGACGCTGAGGCTGATGGTGGCCGAGGGGCGGGGCTTGGCCTGGGGGGCGTGGTCAGAGTGGGCGTGGCCAGAGTGGGCGTGGTCAGAGTGGGCGGGGTCGTAACGAACCACCGAGCTCAGCACGGTCCGGCCCTGGGGGGAGGGGGAAAAGGGGCGGGGCTTGGAGGAGGAGGGGCTTGCAGGGAGGACACGCCCCAAAGGAGCCCCACCCACCAAACCACACCCACCCACCAAGCCCCGCCCACTCATTTAAGCTCCACCCACTCCAAGCCCCACCCTCTTCTGTTAAGCCACGCCCACTGTTTTAAGCCACGCCCACCACAGGGCTTGGCCACGCCCTAAATCTGCTCCTGACAGGCCACGCCCACTCAGCTACATCATCACTTGGCCACGCCCCTTTAAAAGCCCCATCCACTTATTGGCCACGCCCTCTCCAGAGCCCTTCTGGTGGCCACGCCCATTTACTCCCACCACACCCCTTGCCCTGACCACGCCCCCTTTTATCAGACCCCACCCCTTATCCCCTCCCACCAAGCCCCGCCCACCACAAAGACCACACCCCTTTCCCAAGCCACACCCACCCCAGAAGCTCCACCCACCTTTTAAGCCCCACCCACCACAAAGACCACACCCCTTTCCAAAGCCACACCCACAACAAAGCTCCACCCACCCCTTAAGCTCCCACCCCAAGACCACACCCCTTTCCAAAGCCACACCCACATCAGAAAGCTCCACCCACCCTTTAAGTCCCACCCTCCCCAACCCCACCCCTTACAAGCCACACCCCTTAAAAGCCCCACCCACCATGCAGGCCACACCCACATAATTGACACCTCCCAAGCCCCGCCCCTCTTGGGTAGCTCCACCCCCTATGAGCCCCATTTACACTCCCATCAGGCCACGCCCACCCCAAGCCCCTACAGAGTGTGAAGCCCCACCCACCCCAAGCCACGCCCACCCTGAGCCCCGCCCCTTTAATTTACACCCCTCTTCCCCATTAAGCCCCGCCCATCTCAAGCCCTGCCCCTCGGGTAGCCCCGCCCTTTATGAGCCCCATTTACACACCCCTTTTCCTATCGAGCCCCACCCACAAGCCACGCCCCCAATGTGAAGCCACACCCACCCCGAGCCACACCCACATCAAGCCCCGCCCCTTTACGAGCCCCATTTACACCCCCTCTTCCCCATTGAGCCACGCCCACCCAAGCCACGCCCCCAGTTTGAAAAGCCCTGCCCATCCTGAGCCCCTCCCACCCCAGCCACGCCCCCAATGTGAAGTCACACCCACCCAGAGCCACACCCACCCTTAGCCCCGCCCCTTTATGAGCCCCATTTACACCCCCCTTTCCCTACAAGCCCCACCCACACCAAGCCACGCCCCCAATGTGAAGCCACACCCACCTCAAGCCCCACCCCTGGACAGCCCCACCCCTTTATGAGCCTCATTTACACCCCCTTTCACATCGAGCCACGCCCACCCCAAGCCACGCCCCCAATTTGAAGCCCCGCCCACACAAGCCCTGCCCCTAGGGCAGCCCCGCCCTTTATGAGCCCCATTTACACACCCTTTTCCTACAAGCCCCACCCAGCTCAAGCCACGCCCCCAATGTGAAGCCACACCCACCCTGAGCCACACCCATCTCAAGCCCCGCCCCTCGGGTAGCCCTGCCCCTTTATGAGCCCCTTTTACACACCTCCTTTCTCTACAAGCCCCACCCACCCCAAGCCACGCCCCCAATGTGAAGTCACACCCTCCCTGAGTCAAGCCCACCCCAAGCCACGCCCCAATGTAAAAGCCACACCCACCCTGAGCCCCGCCCACCCCAAGCCACCCCTCCAATGTAAAGCCATACCCACTCTGAGCCCCGCCCACACCAAACCACGCCCCCTGGACAGCCCCGCCCTTTATGAATCCCATTTACACATCCCCCTTCCCCATCGAGCCACGCCCACCCAAACCACGCCCCCAGTGTGAAAGCCCCGCCCATCCTGAGCCCCTCCCACCCCAGCCACGCCCCGAGTGAAGCCACACCCACCCCGAGCCACACCCACATCAAGCCCCGCCCTTTATGAGCCCCATTTACACACCCCTTCCCCATTAAGCCACGCCCACCCAAGCCACGCCCCCAATGTGAAGCCACACCCACCCTGAGCCCCGCCCACCCAAGCCACGCCCCAATGTGAAGCCACACCCACCTCAAACCCCACCCTCGTGTAGTCCCGCCCTTTATGAGCCCCATTTACACCCCCTTTCCCATTAAGCCCAGCCCACCCTAAGCCACGCCCCAGTGTGAAAGCCCCACCCATCCTGAGCCCCGCCCACCCCAAGCCACTCCCCAATGTGAAGCCACTCCCATCTCAAACTCCACCCCCTCAGGTAGCCCCGCCCTTTATGAGCCCCTTTTACACCCCCTTTCACACCCCCTTTCCCTACAAGCCCCACCCACCCTAAGCCACGCCCCCAGTTTGAAAAGCCCTGCCCATTCCGAGCCCCGCCCACCCCAGCCACGCCCCCCAATGTGAAGTCACACTCACCCAGAGCCACACCCACATTAAGCCCCGCCCCTTTATGAGCCCCATTTACACCCCCTTCCCCTACAAGCCCCACCCAGCCCAAGCCACACCCCCAGTGTGAAAGCCCCGCCCATCATGAACCCCACCCACCCCAAGCCCCGCCCCCTTGTGACGCCACGCCCACCTTGGGGCGGTACCCCGGGAAGAGCCGCCGGGCCAGGGGGGGCAGCAGATCCCGAAGGGCCCCCCCGAAAACAACGTCGAGATCCAGCAGGGACAGGGGCAGGGCTTGGGACCACTCCTGGAACACACGGGGGACACCTGGGGACACCTGGGGATACCTTACATATACCTGGGGACACCTGGGGACCACTCCTGGAACACACAGGGGACACCTGGGGACACCTGGGACACCTTAACACACCTGAGACACCTCACATACACCTGGGGACAGCTGGGGACACCTGGGGACACCTTACATATACCTGGGGACACCTCACATACACCTGGGGACACACCTGGGGACACAGCTGGGGACACCTGGGGACACCTGGGGCACACCTGGGACACACCTGGGACACACCTGGGGACAGCTGGGGACACCTCACATACACCTGGGGATACCTGGGGATACCTGGGGACAGCTGGGACACCTGGGGACAGCTGGGGACACCTGGGATACCTGGGGACACCTGGGGACACCTGGGACACCTGGGGACATGGGGACACCTGGGGACACACCTGGGACACACCTGGGACACACCTGGGGACAGCTGGGGACATGGGGACACCTGGGGACACACCTGGGACACACCTGGAACACCTGGGGACACACCTGGGACACACCTGGGACAGCTGGGGACACCTGGGGACACCTGGGGACACACCTGGGACACACCTGGAACACCTGGGGACACACCTGGGGACACACCTGGGGACAGCTGGGGACACCTGGGGATACCTGGGGACACCTGGGGACACCTGGGGACAGCTGGGGACACCCGGGACAGCTGGGACACACCTGGGACAGCTGAGATAGACCTGGGACACACCTGGGGACACCTCACATACACCTGGGGACACCTGGGGACACCTGAACCCCATTTTTTGGGGTCCTGAATCCCATTTTTTTTCGGTCCTTTTCCCCCTCCCCAAAACCATGCTGGCCCCGCCCACCCTCCCTGAAGCCCCGCCCACCTGGTGATGGATCCACCCAACCTCCCCAAAGCTCCACCCACCTGGTGATGCTCCGCCCACCTCCAAAAAGCTCCACCCACCTGGTGATGCTCCACCCCCTCCTCCAAGCCCCGCCACCCTCCCCGAGCTCCGCCCACCTGGTGATGCTCCGCCCACCATCCCGAAGCTCCGCCCACCCTCCCAAAGCTCCACCCACCTGGTGATGCTCCGCCCACCCTCCCCGAAGCTCCACCCACCTGGTGATGCCCGCCCCCTCCTCCAAGCCCCGCCCACCCTCCCCGAAGCTCCGCCCACCTGGTGATGCTCCGCCCACCCTCCCCGAAGCTCCGCCCACCTGGTGATGCTCCGCCCACCCTCCCCGAAGCTCCGCCTCCTCACGCAGGTCCCGCCCCAACTGCTCCGAGAAGAGCGGGAACTGGAACACGTCGGGACACGGCTGGGGGGACCCAAACACACCTCAGGGACCCCAAAATCACCTCGGGGACCCCGAAAAACATCCCAGGCACCCCCAAAAACACCTCAGGGACCCCAAAAACACCTCAGGGACCCCCCAAAAACACCTCAGGGACCCCAAAATCCACAGGAGACCCCCCAAACACACCTCAGGGACCCCAAAATCACCTCAGGGACCCCGAAATCACCTCGGGGACCCCAAAAACACCTCGGGGACCCCCAAAAACCCCCAAAAACAGCTCAGGGACCCCAAGAACCCCTCAGGGACCCCCAAAAACACCTCAGGGACCCCCCAAAAACACCTCAGGGACCCCAAAAACCTCTCAGGGACCCCGAAGTCACCTCAGGGACCCCTAAAAACATCCCAGGCACCCCCAAAAAACACCAAAAACACCTCAGGGACCCCAAAAACACCTCAGGGACCCCGAAAACAACTCAGGGACCCCGAAAACAGCTCAGGGACCCCGAAAATCCACAGGAGACCCCCCAAAAACATCCCAGACACCCCCGAAAACACCTCAGGGACCCCGAAATCACCTCAGGGACCCCCCAAAAACAACCCAGGCACCCCCAAAAACACCTCAGGGACCCCGAAATCACCTCAGGGACCCCCCCAAAAAACAACCCAGGCACCCCCAAAAACCCCAAAAACATCTCAGGGATCCCAAAAAACAGCTCAGGGACCCCAAAAACACCTCAGAGACCCCCAAAAAACAACCCAGGCACCCCCAAAAACCCCAAAAACACCTCAGGGACACCAAAAACCTCTCAGGGACCCCGAAGTCACCTCAGGGACCCCTAAAAATATCCCAGGCACCCCCAAAAACCCCAGAAACACCTCAGGGACCCCAAAAACACCTCAGGGACCCCCAAAAACACCTCAGGGACCCCAAAAACATCTCAGGGACCCCCAAAATCCACAAGAGACCCCCAAAAAACAACCCAGGCACCCCCAAAACCCCAAAAACCCCTCAGGGACCCCCAAAAACCCCTCAGGGACCCCCAAAAACAACCCAGGCACCCCCCAAAACCCCAAAAACCCCTCAGGGACCTCCACAATCCACAGGAGACCCCCAAAAACAGCTCAAAGACCCCCCAAAACCCCAAAAACCCCTCAGGGACCCCAAAAACCCTCAGAGACCCCCAAAATCCACAGGAGACCCCCAAAAACAGCTCAAGGACACCCAAAACTCTTCAGGGACCCCAAAAAACATCCCAGGCACCCCCAAAAACCCCTCAGGGACCCCCCAAAAACACCTCAGGGACCACCCAAAAACACCTCAAGGACCCCGAAATCACCTCAGGGACCCTCCAAAAACATCCCAGGCACCCCCAAAAACACCTCGGGGACCCCAAAAACAACTCAGGGACCCCCCAAAATCCACAGGAGACCCCAAAAACAGCTCAAGGACCCCAAAAAACCCCTCAGGGACCCCCCAAAAACACCTGGGGGACATCCCCAAAAACCCTTCAGGGACCCCGAAAATCCACAGGGAACCCCCCAAAAAACACCCCAGGGACCCCCAAAAACACCTCAGGGACCCTTCAAAAACATCCCAGGCACCTCCAAAAAACACCTCAGGGACCCCGAAACCACCTCAGGGACCCCCAAAAAACATCCCAGGCACCCCAAAAAACACCAAAAATACCTCAGGGACCCAAAAAAACATCCCAGGCACCCCCAGAAACCCCTCAGGGACCCCCCAAAAACCCCTCAGGGACCCCAAAAAACATCCCAGGCACCCCCAGAAACCCCCAAAACACCTCAGAGACCCCGAAAACACCTCAGGGACCCCAAAAAACATCCCAGGCACCCCCAAAAACCCCAAAAACACCTCAGGGACCCCGAAATCACCTCAGGGACCCCCAAAATCCACAGGAGACCCCCCAAAAACACCTCAGGGATCCCAAAAACCCCAAACACACCTCCAAAAACCCCAAAAACACCTCAGGGACCCCGAAATCACCTCAGGGACCCCCCAAAAACACCTCAGGGACCCCCCAAAAACCCCCAAAACCACTCAGGGACCCCAAAAACCACCATAAGGGAGGAATTTGGGTGATTTGGGGGTGATTTGGTTGATTTGAGGTGATTTGGGGGTTTTGGGGTAATTTGGGGGTGATTTGAGGTGATTTTGGGGTGATTTCAGATGATTTTGGGGTGATTTGGGAGGTTTTGGGGCAGTTTGGGGTGATTTCAGATGATTTTGGGGTGATTTGGGAGGTTTTGGGGCAGTTTGGGGTGATTTCAGATGATTTTGGGGTGATTTGGGAGGTTTTGGGGCAGTTTGGGGTGATTTTAGGGTAATTTTGGGGTGATTTGGGTGGTTTTGGGGCAGTTTCAGATGATTTGGGGGTGATTTGGGGGTGATTTGGTTGATTTGAGGTAATTTTTGGGGTGATTTTAGGGGGGTTGAGGTGATTTTGGGGTGATTTGAGGTGATTCTGGGGTGATTTGGGGGGTTTGGGGGGTTTTGGGGTAATTTGGGGGTGACTTGGTTGCTTTGAGGTGATTTTGGGTGATTTTGGGGTGATTTGGGGTAATTTTGGGATGATTTTAGGGTGATTTTGGGGTGATTTGAGTTAATTTTGGGATGATTTTGGGTGATCTGGGGGTAATTTTGGGGTGATTTTGGGTAATTTTGGGGTGATTTGGGGATTTTGGATTAATTTTGAGGTGATTTGGGGTAATTTTGAGGTGATTTGGTTGATTTGAGGTGATTTTGGGATGATTTTGGGGTGATTTTGGGATGATTTTAGGGTGATTTGGGGTAATTTTGGGGTAATTTTGGGGTGATTTTGGGGGGATTTGGGGGTTTTGGGGGTAATTTTGGGGTAATTTTGGGGTGATTTGGGGTGATTTGGTTGATTTGGGGTAATTTTGGGGTGATTTGGTTGATTTGGGGTAGTTTTGGGGTGATTTGGGGTGATTTTGGGGTGATTTGGGTGATTTTGGGGTGATTTTGGGGTGATTTTGGGTGATTTTGGGGTGATTTGGGTGATTTTGGGGTGATTTTGGGATGATTTGGGTGATTTGAGGTAATTTTGGGGTGATTTGGGGTGATTTGGGGTTTTTGGGGTGCCGGTACCTCCTGGAGCAGCTCCGGGGGGGGTTCCTGGTCCAGCACTCGGCTGTAATTGGGGTGCACGTACTGATGGGCCCAGTCCTGCGAAACAGCCCTTACTGGGAGCACTGGGAGCACTGGGGGGGACTGGGGAGGGACTGGGATGAACTGGGAAGGACTGGGAGGGGAATGGGGGGCACTGGGAGGGACTGGGATGGAACTGGGAGGGACTGGGAAGGGGAATAGGGGGCACTGGGAGGGACTGGGAGGAACTGGGAAGGACTGGGAGGGAATGGGGGGGCACTGGGAGGGACTGGGAGGGAATAGGGGGCACTGGGGGGACTGGGAGGGAATAGGGGACACTGGGGGGCACTGGGAGGACTGGGAGTGGAATAGGGGGACACTGAGGGGACTGGGAGGGACTGGGAGGAGATTGGGGGGACTGGGAGGGACTGGGATGAACTGGGAAGGACTGGGGGGAATGGGGGCACTGGGAGAGGACTGGGATGGAACTGGGAGGGCCTGGGAGGGGAATAGGGGGCACTGGGGGGGACTGGGAGGAGTGGGATGGAACTGGAAGGGACTGGGAGGAATGGGGGGCACTGGGAGGGACTGGGAAGGGGAATAGGGGGCACTGGGAGGGACTGGGAAGGGGAATAGGGGGCACTGGGGGACTGGGATGGACTGGGAAGGACTGGGAGGAATGGGGGCACTGGGGGACTGGGAGGGACTGGGAGGGGAATAGGGGACACTGGGGGGACTGGGAGGGACTGGGAGGGATTAGGGGGACTGGGGAGGACTGGAGGATGAACTGGGAAGGACTGGGGGGGAATGGGGGAGCACTGGGAGGGACTGGGATGGAACTGGGAGGGCCTGGGAGGGAATAGGGGGCACTGGGGGACTGGGATGGAACTGGGAGGGACTGGGAGGGGAATGGGGGCACTGGGGGGACTGGGAGGGACTGGGAAGGACTGAGATGGAACTGGGAGGGACTGGGAGGGGAATAGGGGGCACTGGGAGGGACTGGGAGGGGAATGGGGGGCACTGGGGGGACTGCGATGGAACTGGGAGGGACTGGGGTGGAACTGGGAAGGACTGGGATGGAACTGGGAAGGACTGGGAGAGAATGGGGGGCACTGGGAGAGGGACTGGGAGGGAATGGGGGCACTGGGGGACTGGGATGGAACTGGGAGGGACTGAGATGGAACTGGGAGGGACGGGGGACTGAGATGGAACTGGGAAGGACTGGGAGGGGAGATGGGGGGCCTGGGAGGGGAATGGGAGGCACTGGGAGGGAAGTGGGGAGCACTGGGAGGGAATGGGGGCACTGGGGGGACTGGGAGGGACTGGGAGGGATTGGGGGGACTGGGGAGGGACTGGGGATGAACTGGGAAGGACTGGGAGGAATAGGGGGCACTGGGGGGGACTGGGAGGGAGTGGGATGGAACTGGAAGGGACTGGGAGGGGAATGGGGGGCACTGGGAGGGACTGGGATGGAACTGGGAGGGACTGGGGGGAACTGGGAGGAAACTGGAAGGGACTGGGGAAGGAATGGGAAGGACTGGGATGGAAGTGGGAGGGACTGGGGGAAACTGGAGGGGGGTTAATGGGAGCACTGGAAGAGACTGGGAAGGACTGGGGGGCACTGGGAGGAACTGGAGAAGACTGGGGGAAACTGGGAGAGAACTGGGAGTGACTGGGAGGGAACTGGGAGAGAACTGAGAGGCACTGGGAGAGACTGGGATGGAACAGGGAAGGACTGGGAGGGTCTGGGAGGGACTGGGGGAGCACTGGGAGAAACTGGGAGGGATGAGGGGGGTCTGTACTGGTCTGTACTGGTCTGTACTGGTCTGTACTGGTACCCAGGGGTTGTGGGGTCGCTCCCAGAGCTCGGGGTGCAGGGACTGGGGGGGGCTCTGGACTGGTCTATACTGGTCTATATTGGTCTGCACTGGTCTGTACTGGTCTGTACTGGTCTGTACTGGCCTGTACTGGTCTATACTGGTCTGTACTGGTACCCAGGGGTTGCGGGGCCGCTCCCAGAGCTCGGGGTGCAGGGGCTGGGGGGGGCTCTGGACTGGTCTGTACTGGTCTATACTGGTCTATACTGGTCTGTACTGGTCTGCACTGGTCTGTACTGGTCTATACTGGTCTGTACTGGTCTGTACTGGTCTGTACTGGTTTATAGGAATCTATGCTGGTCTATACTGGTCTGCACTGGTACCCAGGGGTTGCGGGGCCGCTCCCAGAGCTCGGGGTGCAGGGACTGGGGGGGGCTCTGGACTGGTCTGTACTGGTTTGTAGTGGTCTCTACTGGTCTGTACTGGTCTGTACTGGTCTGTACTGGTCTATACTGGTCTGCACTGGTACCCAGGGGTTGCGGGGCCGCTCCCAGAGCTCGGGGTGCAGGGGCTGGGGGGGGCTCTGGACTGGTCTGTACTGGTCTATACTGGTCTGTACTGGTCTGTACTGGTTTATAGGAATCTATACTGGTCTATACTGGTCTATACTGGTGTGCACTGGTACCCAGGGGTTGCGGGGCCGCTCCCAGAGCTCGGGGTGCAGGGGCTGGGGGGGACTCTGGACTGGTCTGTACTGGTTTGTAGTGGTCTCTACTGGTCTGTACTGGTCTATACTGGTCTGTACTGGTCTGTACTGGTGTGCACTGGTACCCAGGGGTTGCGGGGCCGCTCCCAGAGCTCGGGGTGCAGGGGCTGGGGGCGTCTCTGGACTGGTCTGTACTGGTCTGTACTGGTTTATACAGATCTATACCGATCTATACTGCTCTATACTGGTCTGTACTGGTTTATACTGGTGTGTACTGGTACCCAGAGGTTGCGGGGTCGCTCCCAGAGCTCGGGGTGCAGGGACTGGGGGAGGCTCTGTACTGATCTGTACTGGTTTGTAGTGGTCTGTACTTGTCTGTACTGGTTTATACAGATCCATACTGCTCTATACTGGTCTGTACTGGTCTGTACTGGTCTGTACTGGTCTGCACTGGTACCCAGGGGTTGCGGGGCCGCTCCCAGAGCTCGGGGTGCAGGGGCTGGGGGGCTCTGGATTGGTCTGTACTGGTCTGTACTGGTTTATACAGATCTATACTGGTCTATACTGGTTTATACTGGTCTATACTGGTTTATACTGGTCTATACTGGTACCCAGGGGTTGCGGGGCCGCTCCCAGAGCTCGGGGTGCAGGGGCTGGGGGGGGCTCTGGACTGCTCTGTACTGGTCTGTACTGATTCATACAGCTCTATACTGGTCTATACTGCTCTATACTGGTCTGTACTGGTCTATACTGGTGTGCACTGGTACCCAGGGGTTGCGGGGCCGCTCCCAGAGCTCGGGGTGCCGCCGGGACGCGTTGAACCCGTTGGTCACCACGAGGTGCCCGAAGTGCTCCCGGTTGGTCACGTGCAGGAACAGCCCCTGGGGGGAAGGGGGGAGACCCCAAAATAGTCATGGGACACCCCAGGACCCCAAAATAACCCCAGAACACCCCCCAGGATCCCAAAATAAACCCAAAATAACCCCAGGACCCCAAAATAGTCATGGGACACCCCCCAGAAACCCCAAAATACCCCCAGGACCCCAAAATAACCCCAGGACCCCAAAATAGTCATGGGACACCCCCAGGACCCCAAAATAACCCCAGAACCCAAAATAGTCATGGGACACCCCCCAGGACCCCAAAATAACCCCAGGACATCCCCCCAGGACCCCAAAATACCCCCAGAACCCCAAAATATTCATGGGACACCCCCCCAGAAACCCCAAAATAACCCCAGGACACCCCCCAGGACCCCAAAATATTCATGGGACACCCCCCAGAAACCCCAAAATATTCATGGGACACCCCCCAGAACCCCAAAATAACCCCAGGACCCCAAAATAACCCCAGGACACGCCCCAGGACCCCAAAATAAACCCAAAACCCCAAAATACCCCTGGGACACCTCCCAGGACCCCAAAATATTCATGGGACACCCCCCCAGAACCCCAAAATAACCCCGGTGAGACCCCAAAATAACCCCAGGACACCCCCCCAGGACCCCAAAATATTCATGGGACACCCCCCAGGGTGGTTTTGGGGTCTTTGGGGTATTTTCAGGGGTATTTGGGGGGTTTTTGGGGTGGTTTTTGGGGGTCTTTGGGGTATTTTCAGGGGTATTTGGGGTGTTTTTGGGGTCCCCAGGGGGGTCTCACCTCCTCTCGTGCTCGGGCACAAAAGGCCATGTCGGGGTCCAGGTGGGCGTGGTCGAAGATTGGCCCCTCCCCCAGCGGTCCCCGCAGGGCGGCCCCGCCCACCAGGTAGGCGTGGCTGACGTAGGGCACGTTCCACACCCCCCTGGACACGCCCACCACGTCAGGGACACGCCCACAGCGAGCCACGCCCACCCTGACCCACCCAGCACCCACAGCAAGCCCCGCCCACCCCAAGCCCCGCCCACCCCACCCAGCACCCCAGCAAGCCCCGCCCTCCAAACCACCCAGACCACGCCCACCACCCACAAGGCCACGCCACAGCGAGCCCCACCACCCAGACCCACCCAGCACCCGCAAGCCCCGCCACCCCAAGCCCCACCCACCCCACCGCTTTAGCAAGCCCACCCCTCTAAACCACCCAGACCACCCACCACCCACAGGGACACGCCCACCGCAGGCCCCGCCCACCTCGACCCCACCCAGCACCCACAGCAAGCCCGCCCACCCCAAGCCCCACCCACCCCATTCAGCACCCCAGCAAGCCCCGCCCACTCGAAACCACCCCAGACCACGCCCACCACCCACAAGGCCACGCCCATGGTGAGCCACGCCCACCTTGACCACACCCAGCACCCCAGCAAGCCCCGCCCACCCTAAGCCCCACAGGCCCACCCAGACCCACAGCAAGCACCGCCCACTCCAAACCACCCAGACCACGCCCACCACCCACAGGGACGCGCACACGGTGAGCCACGCCCACCCTGACCCCACCCAGCACCCACAGCAAGCCCCGCCCACTCTAAACCACCCCAGACCACGCCCACCACCCACAGGGACACGCCCACAGCGAGCCACACCCACCTCGAGCACACCCAGGAGGGACCCCCCCACCCCCCATCTCCCACCCATGGGCGGGGCCAGAACCTCCCAGGGGGTGTGGCCAAGGTGGGTGTGGCCATGTTGGGCGTGGCCCAGGTGGGTGTGGCCCACGTGGGCAGGTCCAAAATGGGTGTGTCCCTGGTGGGCGTGTCAAAAATGGGCGTGTCCCCAAGGTGGGCATGTCCCCAGGTGGGTGTGTCCAAAACGGGTGTGGCCCAAATGGACATGTCCCCCCAGGTGGGCGTGTCCTTTGGGTGGGCATGTCCCCAGGTGGGTTTGTCCAAAATGGGTGTCTCCCAGATGGGTGTGTCCCCAGGTGGGCGTGTCCCCAGATGGGTGTGTCCCCAGGTGGGCGTGTCCCCAGATGGGTGTGTCCCCAGGTGGGTGTGTCCAAAATGGGTGTGTCCAAATGGGCGTGTCCCTAAGGTGGGCGTGTCCCCAGCTGGGTGTGTCCCACCAGTGGGCGTGTCCCCCCGGTGGGTGTGCCTACCCAAGGTGGGTGTGTCCCTATTGGGTGTATCCCCCCAAGATGGGCGTGTCCCCCCATGTGGGTGTGTCCCCTGCAGGGTGGGTGTGCCCCAGCTGGGTGTGTCCCTATTGGGTGTGTCCTCAGGTGGGCGTGTCCAAAATGGGTGTGTCCCAAATGAGTGTGTCCCCAAGGTGGGTGTGTCCAAAAATGGGTGTGTCCCCCCAAGATGGGGGCATCCCCCAATGGGTGTGTAAAAAATGGGCATGTCCCCAAGGTGGGCGTGTCCCTTTTGGGCCTGTCCCCCCAAGGTGGGCGTGGTCAAAATGGGCGTGTCCCCCCAAAGTGGGTGTGTCCAAGGTGGGCATGTCCCCAGGTGGGTGTGTCCCCCCGGGTGGGTGTGTCCCCAGGTAGGTGTGTCCCCTGCAGGGTGGGCGTGTCCCCCCAAGGTGGGTGTGTCCCCAAGGTGGGCGTGTCCCCCCAAGGTGGGCGTGTCCCCCTCACCGTCTCCTCCCGGTGACGACGTCCACGTAGTCGGGGGCTCGGGCGTAGAAACCGTCGGGGCTCAGAGCCCCCCAAAAATTGGACCAGAGCTGGCCTGGCCGGGACAGGAGCGGGGCCAGGACCTGCCTGGGGGGGGCAAAGAGGGGGTCAGAGGATTTTTGGGGGATCAGGGGGGATTTTGGGGGGGTAAGAGGGGGTTTTGGGGGTCAGGGGTTTTGGGGGGCTCAGGGGGGTCTTTGGAGGCTCAGGGACCCCCAAAAATTCGACCAGAGCTGCCCGGCCAGGACAGGAGCGGGGCCAGCACCTGCCTGGGAGGCAGAAAGTTTTGGGGGGTCTTTGGGGGGCTCAGAGGGGTTTTTGGGGGCTCAGGGACCCCAAAAATTCAACCAGAAGCTGGCCTGGGTGGGACAGGAGGGGACCAGCACCTGCCTGGGGAGAGCAAGGAGGGGTCAGAGGATTTTGGGGGGTCAGGGGGTTTTGGGGGAGTAGAGAAGGGTTTTGGGGGGCTAGAAGGGAGTTTGGGGGGCTCAGGGGGTCTGGAGGGCTCAGGGCCCCCAAAAATTCAACCAGAGCTGCACTGGGTGGGTCAGGAGCGGGGCCAGGACCTGC